GATGTCTCCAGCTCTAAATCACAAATATCACCCCATTCTACCTCTCCCCCACAAATGAACCACAAAACTGCAATCACATAACTGCAGAAGCCGGGAGGAAATGGGGCTACAAGGAGCAAACACCCACTCTCACTCCAGGAGGCTCACTGACCTCTGAATGGCATAAACCAGATGTTGTAAGTCTGAGGGTCTCTGATGGGAGAGCGGAGACGTTAGGAGCAATTGAGAAAGCTCCTCATCTGCAGACAGCAAGCTTCCATTACCGTACAACCCTCATCAAGTGATGGGGAAAGTTGTTGTTGTAGTCCCACATATCACATCACACATCCCACTGCATAAAGGGAAATGTTATAGGGAACTATATAACACTTTATGCATTGGATGGTAAATTTGATTTCAATAGGAAAACAACAATAAACTGTACCAATGTTGTTAAATAATTGTAGGAATGTAACGATACTGGGTTCACGATACGTTTTTCTCATGATTTCTTTGTACAAAATGAGAATTAATACAAAATCTACAAAAGATATTTTGTCTATCAAAATTAAAGAATACTTTTTTATTTCTGATGTGGGGCATAGACTGTGCAAAACAATGCATATTCCCTTTTCTTTGTCAAAGTGAAACTGAAAATATAACCCTGTCAATCACAGAAACTCTGTTTATGTCTTGCCATGTCTTGTCTGTTATTGTCTTATGGTTTTCATTTAATGACTTCTCAATCTTCTCATATTTGTATCACGATCAAAATGTGTCGGGATATATTGTTACATTGCTATATTCTATATCATTTTGAAATGAAACGACATTGAAATTGAACATTCATTCCTATTTTCTAGATCAGTGTAATTGTGTCTACGTGTTTATGAGTGTCTTCAGCATGGAGGCGGTAGTTTGTCATTGAGGTTGATTGGACTTCCTGTGATGCCGTAGAGGTAGGTAGAGTTCTGGTAGGCCACAATATAAATGCAGCAAAACACAAACACCCACGCTGCGTAAAAAAAAAAAAAATTACTATATTTCTCGAAACTTAACCTTGCAGCTAAAGGAGCTCAGCAGGGAGATAAATGGTGTGTAGCAGACAGAGGAGTGGGCTGGGTTTGTCTGTCTGAAGATGTCTGAGTGGGAGCTGACATAAACTGAGACGAGCCGAGCCAAACTGAGCGGAGGCGTAACAGTTATCTGTCCCCGACTCAGCCCACAACAAAACTCCATCACAGCTGAACAGGAGGTGAAATGACTAAACAGCAGCTATCTGGAGAAGAAAAAAAAACCTGGAGAGCAGCTGCATAGCTCTGTTGGGGGGGGTTACAGAGCGTTCGGGTTAATCTGAACAGAGTTTGACTTATCGGCCGAACGTCTCTGTGGAGCAGGCTCCCCATTATCTGCCCAGTGAAGTGTTTGCACAATTAAAAGCTAATTTTCTGTCTCTTCCTGGCCGCCTTGTTAAAATGTGAATGAATGTGTGTTTGTGTATTAGATCCCAAGAACAGCGGCCAACAAAACATCACTAAACAGTGTCCTAGAGCGCGGGGTAGGGTTTTCTGGATGTTGAAGGATGGAGGGATTGGATACAATCGGACAAAATGTTTCAAACACCAAGAGCAGGGCCAGCATCATCAGCTAAAGCCCGGTCATTAATCTGCTTCCAAAGTATTTATGAAAAACCTGAAAGTCACACAGTGGAGTGAGTCCGCAGTAACCCAATCACCAGGACAGCCTCTCCAGCACTCCCCACGGTCATATTTTAAGGCCAGTTTTCCAACCTTTTATTGTTTTTCAAGTTTATTTTCTCACTTTTTGGTTTCATTTATTAAGAGTCTAATTCACACAGAGGCCTGTTGTTTATTTGGGCTGAGACAGAGAGGGAGAAGGTATGATCTTACATGTGCCCTCCATTTGTCTGCCCACGTGTTTGCTCTCCAAACACTCCAATAATGAGCATTTTAATAAGATCTACACATACAGACTCGCACAGTCTCTTGGCCAAATCTGGTGATGAAATAGGAGAGCTGCTACTAAAGAATAGTTATATTAATGATAATATTTTTCCCATTATGTTAAAAGCCCGAGCACAGTACTTCATCTTCTGTGTGTGTGCGCACTGTGGCTGGTGTTGAGGGGTCTGCAGATGGCAGGGCTGCTGAAGAAAAGAAGCTAAGGTCCTGGCAAGATCATGTAATGTCTTTGTAATTATTGGCAGCCAGCACACATGGAGGAGTTTATTGTTTGTCTCTGTGGATTTATGCTCGTCTGCCGAGGTGTTGCTACCTACATGCCAAATCTCCAAAGGGTCCTGCTGTAGCTGATGTGGACGTCCTCCTGAATCTACACGTCAGCCACTTCAAGCTTAAATCCTCTGCAGTAAATAAAAATACTTTTTACAGATATTTAGGTTTTCTAGACAGTGCCTATACTATACATGGGGAACAAATTGGCATCTGGCTGAGTGACAGGAAGGGTCAAACATTTCTTATGTAATATGTCTGAGTTTCTAGTTTACAAAGATGATTTAATCTTATAAGAGGTTACTATTTTTTGTGGGCAAGAGTGCTGTAATTTTAATGATGTGGCATTGTCCAGCAGTCAAATCCTTCTGAACTAAAGCCATTAAATCAATATCAGTAATAGAATATACATTTCTGACTCTGTGTTGTTATTTGCTAGCTGGTGTATAGAGCTTCACCACAATTGTCCCCCTAAAAAAGCAGTTTTGGCTGCCAATAGACTGATTTAAGTTGAAGATTCATAGGCCTGGGTTTTTTCAATGATAACTGATTACTTAAACTTTCAAACAAACCCTTTTGGTATGTGAAGAATAGCGGGGAGAATAGATAAGTGTTAATAAGTATGGTCCCAGAGGGATTTGGGATCAAGTGAGGAACTCCATTTAGACAAATTTGCATTTAAATCACACCCAACATTTTGACACCCACACCCCAGCCAAAGTTTCTAGTCTTTTGTTTTATTTTGTCTTGTTTTTTAGTCTCAATTTAAGTCTGAAATCCTGAGCTGATTTTAGATCCTGGTTCCCCTCTTACCCCTTATCCCCTATACAGATGCTTTACCCCTCTCCTTAATGATGAGTTGTTCTTTATTTATGTATTGTTTGTGTTGAATAGTGTTTTTCTTTCCTTTATGGATAATTCCAAATGCAAAACATTTCTCCATCACTTCTTAAAAGTCAGTTTAATTGACATTTACGTAGTGTTCTCTTAATAACTGCAGCCCACCCTTTGTTTTATGTCAGAAACCCTGTTTAGCTGACATTACTCTATATGTTGATTTGTTTTCATTTACTGCTTTAGCATACATTCCATTGTTCGAGTAGGCTATTACAAGGAATAGAACAGGGACATATTGAAAAGAAAGATAAGAAAATAATCATTATCACATTATTCATGGTCAAATATGTTTTTGATTTTGAATAACATATTACTGAATATCGGTGCTTACATAAGAGAACACTAGAACATTCTGAGATGACTGCATTATGTACATTGGTTTCAAATATACATGAACTGAGTTCTTTAATGTTCATTTCACTCAGGTAGTACACTCAAAGAAGTCCTCATCCAGCAGTAACTGGTATCAAAATAGTATTAAATAGCAGCATTACATAGTAATTATAAGTATAATTAGAGATGTCTACGAAGTGAATATTAGTAAATGAATATAATAAATTTAACTTTTAATTCAGCAATCATTCCTTTATATATTCTTATCACACCGTTTAAAGCTGTAGTCTCAAGCACTAACTGATCTGACTAAGAACAGATGTAGCTGAAAGGTTTGTCTCTTGTGGCACACCATAAATACAACAGATTTTCCATCATCCTCACAGAGCTTTATCTCTTAAATCTACATCATTACCATGATACCCAGAGTAACACTACCACTATTCTGTGTAAACTTTGGTGCAATGCCGGGTAGTCCCAAAGCCAGGCCAGCCACAAGTATTTGTGACTTCACATGGCCTGGAGATCGGTGACCTAACGTTCATCCATAATGTTCATCATGTTTCACCTGCACACACAGCTTCACAGGACCATCAAGGGGGAAGCAGAGGAGATGGGCCGGAGGAGTCTTTACGTGTTTTATTTGGAAACCTGAGCCCTTGCCGGTAATTGCCCAAAATGACTCTAATCGTAATTGACGGTCTGGCTTTCTACTTTGTCTGCACATATTTCCAGGACGACGGGGGCTACGGTAACTCTGTTAAAAGTCTGGACGTAGAAAGGCACACACTCTTTATCCATCAGAGCGGGACTTAATGTCTGTCCTCCCTTTTGTCCTTTAGCTATCCTGCTCTTGTTGGGCCGAGTCCTCTGCGTGTGTGTGCATGTGTGTGATGATGTAGCTGGCCATTAAGCCAGACTGGGAGGAGGATAGTGTTCCTGAGGGGAGAGGTGGTGATTTCTGGCAGCTGTTTCTGCGTTGACAAGCTTGACGCGTTCCACGCTCTGACATCACACAGTCATCCACACACACACTCCTCAGAACAGAGCAGGGAAAATGAGTAGGATGCAGTTCGGTACACATATTTTGAAATTATCTTGCTCTCTGTTGTTAAACTGTAAATTTGCATGGTATGCATACTTGGAATGGTGTGTTTCTCATTTGGCATGGCGCAAAATGAAGTGAAAATAGACTTTGGTTTATTTTCCAACCACAGTTTTAGAGGGTGCACTTCAGTGGAGAAAAATCAGCCTTAGACAAGTTAAGACTCATTCATTTTTTATCTGAAATTACATTTTGGTACCACTTTAAGTGGCAGGCACACCACCAAGCTGTACTGACATTTAAATAAAGAGACTCTCTTAGTTTTAAGGCTGGGATCACACTTGGTGCTTGCACATTAGTTTCCTTCTGTTTGTGCACTGATGCTGCACATAAAGATGTGAATCAAAGTATTTTTGCTAGAGGACCCACATTTTATAAGCGCATTTTTACTGGTTTTGTGTTTCAGATTGTGTTCCTGGCCGAAGGGTCTGTACCTGGCTCGTGGCCGGCTCCAGTGGCCAGGGCAGGCATGGCTCCTGCCGGCTGCTTCCTGGTTCCCCTCAGGCTGTGGAAAATGGCAGAGGGGCGTCAGAGTAGTGAGTTCCTCGGCAGCTCTCCCCAGGGACCAGCTGAATCTGAGGACAGGCTTTATGCCATGGAGCCCTGCAAGAGAACAGGATTTTAGAACCTACATGTCAAATGGCAGAATGGCCGCATGCACGCGTGTGTCAGTCAGATACTGTATGTTTGAGTGTGTGTTATGGGATCTTGTAGCCACCCGTAGCCATGGATATGAATATCTTACGTACTAGCAAATATATGTATTTGAGTGTAGGTGAGCCAACAATTGAAGGTGAATGGCTCACTGAGTGTGTGTGTGTTGACAGTACGTTCACAGTTGACTCTGGGTGTTTACAACCCAACACTTTTTTCCTAAGCTGCTGAACATCCTGCTTTGTACATGAGCCAACATCACCTCACCCGGCGCCCACATTCACTCAGAGACACACATGCAACACACACAGCTATCCCACACTTTATTCAGCGTCCAGCGGAAAAAGGGGAAACTTCATCCGCTGAGGGCAAGTAAGCAAGCAAATGCAACAGACCTGTGAAAAATCAAACAGGCGTGGAAAGGCATTGCTGCGTAAATAATGGCGCTCAACTGGAAAGCCAGATAGAGCAGGAACAGGAAGACAGGGGTTGTAGACCACTAATAAAAAGTCTGCGGCTCATTGAAATCTCCCCCGTGTAGTGGATGAACATCTGCACGCACACACACACACACACACACACACACACACACACACACACACTAGTGTGCAATAAACACAACCAGAGGAAAAAGCTAATTAATTTGGACAAGAAGATGATAGATGTAAGTATAGAGCAGAAGATTTGAGTTAAGATTTAATGTCAGACTAAAGTCAGAAGAATTAGGACCGGAGACTAAATTTAAACTTGGCATGAGACATTACTTGCTGTAGACTTGACTCCCTAAAGACGTGGCTTTACTTTAAACTTTTATTCAGGTCTTTAGTTTGGTAAATCCGCGTAGAAACCTGAAAGAGTTGGATCTCGACTTGCAGTTTGCAAAAGCTGGATCATGTCGGCTGTAATGTGGCTTGCAAAGTAAACTGGAACTTGTCACAGGTTCAGCCATGAATGTGTCTTAGGGTTTGTTTGATCCTCCAAAGAGGCTGTGTACTGGTCTTGCTTACAGTGCTAGTATGTGCTATCACTGCAAGGTGGACAGTAAGCTGAGTCTGTGCATGAGTAGTACTGAGGGGTCTCAGTGGGTCCCCTCGGTCCAAGGCCATCCACACTAACTGGGCCTTGACTCAGTCACATCCATCTTTCTGAACCTATAAGAGGGCCCCGACTCTGCAACATACTACATTTATCACGGCCTCTTTCAAAAGGCCACTAGAAACCTCAACAGGTCCCTGAGTCCAGCTAAGTCCTGACTCTTGCCACCAGCATGTACGTTTTATCTGCAAAAGGAGAATGGAAAACAATTAGGGCTGAGCTTTTGGTTCTTTACAGCATGCAGCTTAATGATCCATTATATGTCAGCTCCCATGTGCTATGACCCAGTCAAACTGAGTTTCCTAAACTGTAGAGCCTTGGGGCCCGGTTAGTAGTTCACTTCACTGGAAGAAAATGCTCAGAATAAACACCAGTGGTGAGATAAGCTATGTTGTGTGTCTCCCATGTTGATAAGGGTTGTAAAAAACGCCTCTGGGTGGACACTGAATCATGGTGTACTATAGCTGACTCAGAACGACTTGGCCGGAGACAGGGACAGCAAAGACACCTGCGCCCTTCCAGCTCATTGGGACCCCCTTCAGTGGTTAGGTGGTGTTGGCCACACGCACTTGTAGTTTGAAATTGTGTGACTTCACATCCATCTCAGCGGGCCAAAAAGTGAGCCGGAAATTCATTACAAATGTGTTTTCTGTAAAGAATTTCTCACTCAGCCCCCGCAGTGACAGCTGCACGGGAGTGACTATTTCCTGGCATCTTGCCCCACATGTGTGTACAAACACACGCAGAGGTCGAGGCTCAAACCTGCCAAGACGTCAGCCCACGTAGAAAAATGCTACCACGCCTGTCTGACATACTGTGATGTGAACTCACCTCAGGGCCCAGCAGACCCCAGGTGGAGCCTTGTGGAAAAAGCATCTAGACAATACAGTCCAGAGGATGCCTGAGTGAGCAGGTAAGCAAGCCATAGAGAGCGTATCAGAGAAGGAATATTTTCTTCTGGATTGAGATGTACAAAATATGGTGCATTCATCAAACAGCACTTAAGAAAGGATCGATTTTCCAACGAGAGGAGATCTGGGAGACGAATTCAAAACCCTGCTACTATGTCACGCCAGCACCAATTTGTAGGCCAGATTTGTCGGCTGTTTGCATGAGCTTTGTATGAGCATAAAATACAAACGAAAAACCTGGTGAAATCGGAGTTCAGTGCTGTTCAATCCTTTGCATACTTGCATAAAATAGGTTAAGAGGACCAGCAGAGAAGGGCAGCGGCGCCTCAAGCAGTGACCACAAAATCTCTCCAGCAGGCCAGTTTGAACAGGGGACTGAACCTAACAGCCACTGAGCTCATGCCAAGAGAACTGACCCATGCTAAATCAGTTCAGTGTTTCACAGAGAGGGCTGTGGTGCACGGTTTTGTCATAAGACTTTGTGATTGAAATGACAGACTTAAGGAAAGACAAGGGACATGAATACTCTAAAGGTATGCCGCGCTGCAATATCAGTCGTTCGCCGTTTGTTGCATCCAAAGGGGAATGACCACATATTCCCCAATCTGAGGAAGGATCCATCTTTCCATTTGAGGAGCTTTCTGAGGGCCAGGAAGCATGTCGCAGAGCCGGGAACACCTGGGACTTTTTAAAAGGCCCAAAAGGACCATAACAGACAGACTTAAAGAAACATTCCCCACTGTCAGAATGCTCTAACCGTGTCTGTTCAGATCACACAATATCAGATGGTCATGGGTGGAGTAAAGAGACACTTTGTCATGTGGTCAAGAGATGGGATACGCTTAATTGCAATGAGACATTTGTCCCTGTGCCCCTGTGCAGTCTGACATCTTCAAATGGTTCTGCCGCCATCTAGTGGGAACTCTCACTATTGCAGGAAGTATTGACTCTGAAAACCCAGCTCAGACACAACCTGAAGCCCCTCTCCCTAACAAAGACCTGTATGTATGGATGTCAGGAGACGCTGTCTGTGTCCGCTTAGTCTTGTTCTGAGTGTGAAACCTGAGGTCAAATCAGTATTTAAAGAGAAAATAGCTCGGGGTGATGGATGGATAGGTGGAAAGATGGAAACGGGGAGGTGTAGAAGACTGTTATTCTTCTTCTCTTTTCAAAAACAAGCCTGTCTGTCCAGCCGGGGGGAGCACGGGTGGAGCAGTCTGACTCTCAGCTGGATGTTGATGAAGTTAGTGAGAGAAATAACGGTCGGGAGGTGAAAGACTGACACTGAAAAACACCGCAAGACCTGTCATTTCTAAGAACTTATAAGCAACTGGAACGTATGCTTTGAGTTTTGTACTTTATATCAGCTTTACTAATTAATATTTTGCTTCTTCGCCTCTTCCTGAGGAAGCAAATGGCCAAAAGACAACAAGGTCCTCATCGGGAAAAGAAACGAGGAGAAAAACATGTCATTCTCCGAAACGTTCACAGGGTTCACTGGGTGGAATGGTTCTGCGTTCATGCTGCCTCCATCTGGACCTGGACAGGGAGTACTACAACAGGACACCGCAGAGGTCAACTCTGCCATTCAGCACCACTGAAACCTCTCCAGGGTGCTATTGGGGTGTTGGGTTTTTCTGTCTTGGATTCTCCCACATCAAGTAACAGGAAGGCCAGCTACTGGCCGGAGTTTTTACTGGGCCACCATGAATGACACTGATCCTCTCCATTGCATGACAGACGCCCATCCAAAGCCACCCCTGTCACACCTGCTCTGGTTACAGCTCAAAGGACCAGTTTGCTCCAAAGCTATACGCCAGCTTAAACGTCTGCTGATCCGCTCCAGTCTGATGAGTTTATCTACACTGGTCCTTGGTGAGATGATAGAAGATCTATTTGGCAGCCTTTATGACACCTGCTCAGGTTACCAATTCTGTACTGTCTGTTGCAACATTGTGAGACTGTGGTTCTGCACTTATCTTTGTCTTTTGTAAAATGAAGGAGATCAGGTTTTATTGTCCAATGTGTTGCTGCTTTTGTCTTCATGAATCCCTCTAATCTGGACCTGATGCGATCTGTCAGAAGTCACATTGTGAGGCCTGAGTATCATTTTAAAGTTTAAGAACTAGAGCTGATGCAAAAACTAGAGCTGAGTTTCAGTAGTGATACCAAAAACGTACCGTTTACCTAAGCATCTTATCAAAGATTAAGCAAAGATTACGAATCTGACAAGACATTCAATTCCAGCTTTTGTAATAGAATCCAATATGATGGGACACAGTTCGGTTGGTGCCAAAATTTTCTATGTATGACCTATGTAAAACCTTACCAACTGCACCTTTGAAAATAGATGACCAAAAACAAGTTCACAGAAGAAAGCAAAAAATTGCAAAAAGAGCCTTGAAGGCCTGTCCTTTTATCTGAGCCGACTGCCTACTACTCCATAATCCTGGACCACAGCAGCATCCAAGGTTACAGACTTAAGTTATTAAATACACTGTGTGCAAAAAACAGCTGCATGCTGAAGGATACATTATCTTGTTTTTGCATGTTCTTGTGTGCTCACATAAAGGTCAACGGCAGTTGCAGAAAGCACACAACCTTCCAGTTCAAGAAAGAGGCTTCCAAATATTTGTGCTGTGATGCTGTTTAGAAAGAGAGAGGAAGAGTTCAACATGGCTGTAGAGATGGTAGAAGAAAGATGCACTACCATGTGGATTTAAGAGAAATAATAAAGTTGTTCCTTTTATGGAAAACTATGTTCTTTACTTCAAGCCCCATTGGTGAGCTTTGGGGTATTGGTATGGGGTAGCTGTGAAGACAGATTGAATGTAAAATCAATTTGTATTTCAGCTACTCTACATCATATTGGCTTGTAGGAACCACAAAGTGCAAAGTCAGACAGACAGAAGTAGATAGAGTTACAGCCACATGCACACAACC